ATTATAATATTTTAATATTAAAATTAATGTTTCGTGTTGGTTAACATATTTTGTCTTCCAGTTTGACCTTCAGAGCAAATCTAACGTTTTTCAGTGAATGGCTTTGGATTCCAGAGTTACAGATGCAACTGGTATCTGTTAATATACTTAATCGCTTCTTTAATTAAGCCATATCCTCTTGTACGTCTTTCATTCTCTAGATTACCCCGGTTTTTGTGATACTGCCAAATTGGCCCCTGAAGAACGCCGTCCATGGAAACATATCGCCAAAAATCGAGAGAAAAGGGCTCAAAAGGAGAAAGAAAAGCAAGAAAAAGAGAAGAAGCAACCACAAGCGCGCCCGGCAAAACGTAAGCCTTTTGATACTTAAAAAATTCTATGGGGGAATGAGTAATAATATGTCGTATCTTTTCATTAAATACTTCTTAAAGTTTGTAAAAAAAAATAATTCACGGATTTTACCTGTGAAGTACATTTAAAGGTGTGTTAAAGAGGTTGAAAGCGGGTAGAATAGGAACACGTTGACATAACGTAGTCGCAAAACCTGGAATTGAGTTATTAAGCAAAGACCATTCACAACGCCTTGTAACCGTAGACGTAAGTGCGTGAACTTCAAAGAGTTCACGAGCACCAAGCTTTTACGTTAAGTTTTCGTCGGAGTTCTACCCATGACCAATCAGAGAGTAGCATGAAAGAAACATACATGGTGGATTTCAGATTGTGTTCATAGTTTGTGCTTATGTCATTTCATTACTGTTACGTACTGCATTAGTTTGGGACCGGTTTTGATGCGAGTAGTGAATTCGAAGAAAGAATTTGGGCCATTTTCCTGTGACTTCATCTGGACATGTATATATAAAGACAAATCGGTAGGAAATCAAAGAAAAAGCTAGAAACCACGGTGAAAAGATCTTTCCACCATGCTAGAAACAAATCTACAATCAATCAAGCTTCAATAAGTTGAAATCTGATTGGCTCAAGCGAAACTTACGTTTCAGCTTACGTCCGCCATTGTGAGTGATAATTTTTACGAGTAAATTTTATTGCAAAGTTTACGGCATTACATTACGTTTAAGTTTTGCATTGTGAATGAGGCGTAACGCGGCCCGTCGCGAAGTCAAATTCTGCAAAAGTCCCATGTGTGAGCAGCGTTGATCACCCCGACGTCGTGGAAGGAGCGTCGCCTGGGGGTGGAGCGGAGTCCGGCGCGGGACCAACCTCGGCGAACAGCAGTAGTGGCACCATCCGCCCCGGCCGCTCCCGCCTCCGCGCCCAAGCCCGCCGCCCGGGGCGCGTTGCCTCGCGCGCCCACAGTTCGCGCCCCAGCGCCAGCGTCGCCGCCCGCTGCTCCCGACGACACGGAGGCGTACAGAGGCGGTCTTCGACAGTCGCCGAGCCGCCCATCCGAAGGCGTGCCTGCCGCCCCCCCCCGACCGCCCGCTCGCCGTCGCCCGCCGCCCCGCCCACCAGCACCTCCGCCACGGGCTCCTCTCCGCGCGCCTCCAGGGCGTCCAGGTGAGGAGCGACGCGCACGCACTACTTTCAACACAAAACGTTTACATGATATCCGATTTCAGTATATCTGATTTCATTATAAGCTCTGACTGACTGGCTGACTGACTGGCTGACTGGCTGACTGGCTGACTGACTGGCTGACTGACTGACTGACTGACTGACTGACTGGCTGGCTGACTGACTGACTGACTGACTGACTGACTGACTGACTGACTGACTGGTCATCAGCTGTTAGGGTGCCATCCAACCGGGACCTTACACGTCACTGTGGTGGCGTCCAACAATCTGATTAGATGGCACTGAAACAGGTGATTTACGTCAGAGGCAGCTCTGGATAAATCCAAGTATAATAAGCGGACGAAAATGAACAGTCGGTTTTTAACATATTATTAAATTAAAATTACAAAAACATATGTATATCATTGTTTTTAAATTATTTAAGTAGTAACAATTTTCATAGTAATGACAATTACTGGGTGTCAATTTTTTAAAATATTTTTTAAACATCTTCATATCATCTTTAGTTTTCAACCCGCATGAGTATTGTTTTGAGCTCCTTTTCAGGAGGATAGTCTTTAAATTAAAGTTCATAATTCGTAACACGAGCATACATAACTCGTAACACGAGCATAGTTATGGATTCACGTAATATTAACAGTCAATTAAAACTTTTTTTGTAGTTGTAATAGCATATCTTGTTCGTCAAGGCAGAAAAGGCAGTATAGTTTTTGTATTACTTGATTTCAATAAATCAAAGTTTGATTTGCTCTATTCGAACTTTCCTCTTATCGTGCTTATGCCTGATATGCGAAGACGTAGTATATTCGCTGTCGACAAACGTAAAAGAGATCAAGATATACATGTGTTTATATATCAGCATTATAAACGACCTTCGTTGTAAGAAATCGCTGATATAATGGGCTTTCATGGCACAGTGTGACTTATTAGCCGTTTGTAGAACTAGAATTGCGTCATCACATACAGCTAATCGCTGTGAGTGAATAGTGGAATTTGGCGGTAAACCGCATAGGCCAAACGCCCTTTTTTTTCGCACTGATGCCTAATATCCTTGAGGTAAAGTTGTTTCTACAAGTTCCATTCTCTTATAAATTTATAATATTGTTATACAAAAAATAACGTACGAAAGTCGTTTATATTGTTGCTTTCGTACAAATTTGAAAACGAGCTTCGTCGGAAGCTCGTTTTCAAAACTTGTACTTCTTAACATTAAATTAAAAAACTTGTAAATCTTAACATTTAGGCGGCTCCACACATTTTGGCACTCGCCGAGCGGCGATCTACAAACACTGCTCCTTAATTCCGAACAGCTGATACGCACGGTGAATGTTCGCTTCCTTTGATGTGTCCAAAAGACCGACATGGGTGGAGCGAGCGAACGTTCGTTGTTTGGCAAATAGTACGCAACCCATCCTCACTACTCGGGATTCGGCGAGCAGTCGCTCGCCACGCGCCGAATACCGAATGTGTGGAGCAGCCTTTATAAGCCAGTTGCATTATACACTGATTCCCCATTTGTGTTTTGTATATGTGTGTGTGAGCAGGCCGCCTCGCGCCCAGCAGTCCCTGCCCGCCAAGGGCCGGTCGTCGTCGCAGCCCGCGCGCAAGGCGGCCGCTTCGCGGGGTTCGCCGCCGCCCCCCGCGCCCTCACCATCGCCCTCGCCCTCGTCGTCGCCGACGCCGTCACGGTCGCCGCCGCCCCCGCCCCCGCGCCGCAGCCGTCTGCCGCAGCAGCGCCC